TCATAAAATCCAATAGAATCAATGTTCATGGCCTACTTATATCTGATTTAATATGTGGCAATCAATCATAAATTACATCTTAACATATCGAACAATACAAACAAACTTGCATCTCAAGTTTTAATTGTGTCGGTGAATTACATACCAGCAAATATTTTTAATCTAAATAATCTAAAATAATTATTAAGTCTAATTTCGTTTTGAAACTATACATTCTTAAATATTTCTAACTGAATATATTTAGACTACATTAATTAAAAAAAATATAACTTCAATATTGAGTAAAAATGCAAAAGGAAGTAGGATACTTTGATAAGGAAAAGTCTGAAAATACGAATGAATTCTGTTTTCAGTGAAGTGAAAATTTGTTTCTGCATTTTTAAAAGAAAACGTCTAAAAGATATGGACAACGTTTTCTATTTTTTTTTGTAATATGTTTTATGCACAGGTAGGTGAAGGCTTCCCTTAGAATATTAAAAGTGCACTCTGTGCCTTCTCTTCTCTGAAATACTAATATATAACTTCAAAATAAAAATGACGTCAAGTCATTGAAAACTTGAACTGTTATGTCAGGGAGAATGTTATAAACTTTACACATTATTTCAAACTGCATGTCCAATGTCAGAATGCTATTGCAGAATACACGTGTTTTATTTATATTTTTAAATCTTATTTGTCCGAATATTTTAACTCAGCTAAATTACACTAAGTTGAAATTCAAAATGCTTATGAAAAATGTACTTTTGAAATGTAGTCTGTTTTATACCCGTGGAAAGAGGTAGAATCCATTTTGCGTGATATTCAAATATAAAAATATATGTATATTGATGCGACACATTCAGAGACTTGTGTAAAATATTTCTAATTGTGAAATTATTTTTATTGTTTAACACCGAATTGACGTTGTACGGAAATACATGTATGTTTGTAATTTATTTCATTAATCGGAAATCTCCTCTTTCAAAAGCTACGTTATTGTAATCGTTTGAAAGATCAAATTAAAAAAAAAAACAGATATGTTTTATAAATAACTTTCACTATTGTAATTAATTACTTCGATATCAGTTACAATGTTTTACGGAGATCAAATTTCTGTGACTAAACAGCTTTATTTAAATATATTATATATGTGCATAAAATAGTGTTAGAAACATGAATAGCATTTATTATTATATTAGTAATAAATATTCTATAATAATATACTAGTAGAAGTCTAGATGATTTTAGCGTTCAATATCTTGGTGTTTTATTGAACGCTGTGTTTCCATATTATATACTTAGATATTTGTAATTTGGCTAAAAATTAAAAGGTTATAAGCTTATAAATGTAATGATCTATTGAAGGGCATCTACCTTGCAACTGTTCTGATTGTTTGTTTATTGTTTAACGTCCCTCTCGAGAATTTTAAACTCATATGGAGACACCACCACTTTCGGGTGGAGAGCTGCAAATTTTGACCTATACTGGGCACTCAGGGTCATTGAGCAGTGAGGGATCTTTTTCGTGTCAGCACCTACTGCGATGCGGGACCTCGGTTTATACGGTCTCATCCAAAAGACAGGTCTCCACGTCCCACAGTGGGATTCGAACCCGCGACGTTAGGATCAACTCCTTACTCCGCGACTCTAGAACGAACGCTCTAACTACTGCTCCACTCGGGCGACTGCCTTGCAATTGTAAATTAGTGTCAAAGATATTTCTGAATAATTGCTTTGGTTAATCATTTATCTCAAATTACTTATATACTAAACACAAATCACATATTATTATTCTTGTTTAAAATGGCGCTTTTAGCAGCGGTGTTTGAAATGCTGGGACTACCACAGGACTACTTCACAAGCACTGGCAATCTAAATAAATCAATATATTTTCGATTTTCGTTCCTTTTATTATTTTTAAATCGTAAATATTGGGTCAATTGAAAATCCTTCCCTCTTTCATTTTCTGAGATTCTGGATAGATATATATTTTGTAGATATTGTTCAATATCTTGAAAAAAAACCCAGCCTTTTTAAGATTGAGGCTGCCAACAATGACAAAAACGAAACACCACCTTATCGTCGAGTACTAAATAATAGACAAAAAGGAAATGCATTAGAAAACTGAACTGCATGAATTAAATCTTTTTACTGTGGAAAATGATCGGCGAGTATTTTTTTTTTTAAATTGCCGATTTCTCTTATATTTTGTTCTTCATTTTTTGAGAAATGGTTGTACTGGTCGTCTTACAATGAAAAATTCAAGATTTGTCTTTGCACTTAGAATATAGTTAAAAAAAAATGCGTTTATGTCCATTAACACGAACAGCAGAGCTGAACCGAAACGGTGGATGGAGTTGAATATGTAAGGAATCAATGTACTACATATACGAACTTCTATAATAATCATGGTTATCAATTTCATATGATTTTTTTCGTGCTTTCATCACATATGTACATCTTTTGAAGCTTATGTTATAACTTTAACCGTCTATCTAATTTTTAGACAGTTATTAGTAAATATCCACTGAACAGGTACCCGGAAATTTCTCACCGTGGCAATGGCCCTGCACTACCATAGATTTGTCTGTTTTGCTTTTGTATTATCTCTTCTATAGAGTATGATAACTAAAATTTTGTCATCTGGAGAGAAGGAACGGTTGTATGGAAAGGAACATTTTTAATAATAATTAAACATTAAATACTCATTTTCCTGCAAAACCTTAACTAGAAATGACGTCTAAGCATAGTCAAATGTTCTTCATGGTTCTTTAGGATCTTGTGACATCTCTGAAAGTCAGGGGTCATTGGTATATGAAAGGACAAGTTTTCAATGTCGAATACATTTTCAAACAAAAAACCTGCCGTTGGTGTAAACCTATAGGGTTTGAGACAATTATTTTAATCAGAAAATAAACATACTAAACCATTTACAATGTACTTATGATAGAGTGCATAAATGAGTATTATGTATTGTACATTATAAAATACGATCTACGGCGTACTTCACGAGAGACGCTAAGAGCCACTATACGATCAGCTTTACGACTCACAACTTTCAGTAAATAAACTCTTTGCAAACATTTTGGGTTCATTGGCTTACATTGGTATTGCTGAATAGAAATTAAACGGTATGTCATAATAATCTGTTTATTGTATTGTTCGTGATTTTTATATTGGTTTGATTAAGTACAACGTGTATGTATCATGTCCTAATTTGTTTATTCAGTTTCTGGCATTAAAATAAAAAACAAAATAACGAACAATGCAACTAAACTTGAAACATAAATCAAAACCAGAAGACCCGTTGTACAAATAATACTTTGATTTTTATCATGAGGAACAGACAAAGAAGATAAAGTATCATTTACACACTTACTGCATTTTAATACATCTACAAGGAATTGTCTAAAATATTAAGTGCCTGCTGAAAATTGACGTCTTTAAATATATACATTACTGATTGCTAAATATATACATTACTGATTGCTAAAGATATGAAATGCATACATTTATATACACACTGTTTGACGAATATATGCACTGTATATATGTTTCTATAATTTGATATTTGAAATCATGCTCTGTCTTTCATATTTTGTAACATTATTTTATGCAAACATTATTTAATGTTTGGTAATCCATGTAGAATTGAATCTATTTAATTTGAATGAATTGATTTACTTTTGCATGACTGCAGATGTCCATTCCTACGTAATAAGTTGGTTGATAGGGAATGACAGTGTGTGTACATTGTAACTTTCATAATGTGTGTGAGTATTGGTTGTATGGGAGGTGGAGAACATTGGAATACAGTTTTAACTACTAATACATACAATTGTACATATACACACTCGGTTATGAGCATTGAGGTTAACAACTGGTTTGTTTACATGTTGGTTCCTATGGGAATTGCGTTCATATGTATAGTAAAACCTAGTTATGTATAAGATTGAGGAGGTACGAATCGTGACTCTTTATTGCGAGAAGCACTGAATTTTGTATTTGAAGGCTTACTTTGACATTTAAACCTGCCCTATGTACTAATGTATGGAATGATAATAGGAGGAAAAAACATTCTGGAATGAAAACTAAGCAAGAGTTGGCCAATTTTGGAAGGGAGGGGGTTCAGGGTAGGTTGGTTGCCGTTCCCTTTCTAGACAACGTAATATGTGCTTTGAAATGGCCTATTATTATCGTTTGATTAACTGTAAAGCTTAATATTTAATTATATCGCAAAAGAACTTCCGTATATTGTTCTGGTGTAGAAGTATGCCGTCGATTGTGAAGTCAGCGCTTCTCGCAATACGATCAATATCTTCATCACTACCCATTAAAGAAATAAATAAAATGAATAAAATCTATGATTGTTATTTATCCTTGTTGTAAAATAAAATACGTGACTTCTGTAAATTCCACTGTATACAACATTCCGTGTCACAGAGAGCAAGCGCTTGCCTGAAGCTGAATGCAGCCAAGCAACTCGATCTGTAAAAGGCAAATTATTTCGACTACATTTTTTTTGACAAAAAAGGTATTGTTTATTCATTTAAGCATTTTAGACGAACGTTCGTTTAATTTGTTTCTGCAATTACAACTATCAGCTTCATGTATATTAAGCTCTGTTCCTCTAAAAAGATATACGAGGGTGGAACATATGTCACTGCATCACACCTCATCATGATCTCATAACCATATCATTTTTCATTGGTAGCCCAAACGGTACTGCGCTTTCAAAGCTGCTGTTATTTACCTTTTAGGGAGCATCATTACCAGCATTACCTTTTAGGGAACATCAATGACTAGGGTAAATTGTGTTTTTGAGGTCACCCCAAAGGTAGACCGGGCATGATTTCTCGGTATTTCATACATAATTTTTATGTTGTTTATAAGAATGAAATTACATTTATTATTTGTTAATGTATAACAATATAATTACAAATAAATATCGTATAGAACTCTATTAGTTTCATCTTAGATCCAAATAAAATAAAGGTTATTTTGAATGCAAAAACTTTTTGTTACATTTCACATAGAAGTATTCCAAAAAACAGCGACTGGTAACCATCAACTGTCCCGAATTTAACTCCTACGGAGACATGATCGTTCGAGGATAAACGAAGGACAGTGGCAGCGGAAGTATCGTCATAACCAGAATGGCGTCCGTCCGACCTCGTTTCGAATATTTCCACTCCATTTACTCTCAGCGCAGTACGCACAACTTTGCTTTTACCCTCTGTATTATACAAAAACAAATACAATCCATCACGATCGGCAGTGAACACTCCCGTGCTTGTTGAGTAACCATGGTGATAGCCTCCGTGAGCTATATTATAAACAACTGGGGTACTGGACGAGCCACCACTTATATGAGCGAGGAAAGCTGGGAAAGTTGATTTTGACACTATAAAGAAAAACAAAATGAAAAAAAATAATGATATCTAACAACAAAACATAACCAACAGTTTAGCTACTGAGCACTGTGATTTGTATAGATTATGGGATATTCGTTGTTAGAATGAACATTTTCTCTTTTTTCCTACAGTTGTTAGAAAATGTTACTTCAAAATGTTACCAACAACTATAACAACAGTAATGAGGATGATGATAGTAATAGTATTGATTGCTCTGTCTTCATTTTCATAGAAGTCAATCACCGAATAATTAAGAAATTTATTTCTCATAAATAAGAGTCCTCTGTTTCATTTATTGTTTATGGTTGCAAAGAAAAATAATAAATATGAAATTTTTGTAGACTAAAGCCACTTTTTTAAACTGAAAAATAAATTACAAATGAAAATCCGAAAACTCATCGAAAATTCATGGTCTATATTATTTAGACTTCTATTAGTGCATAGAATCCGTATTCTAAGTACTCTTTTTAGCATATTTGAATCCCATACTGAAATCTTAGAAAAAATGTAATTTATTCCATCGCCGCGTCTTTATGTTAAGAGAACCCCTGCGAGCATTTGATTGATTGCTATGATCTCACTAATTTCCGTGATAAACGAAGTAAAATGTACACAAACTTTTGAGAAATGTAGTTTACGCGAAGAAATTTTTTTATTCTGCTATTTAGCACATTTAAAAACATCGTGCAACCTTTTTTTTCAACTCTCGATCCGCTTGTCTTTTGTCAGTTAAAAGAAAATTTAGAAAACCAAGTTGGATAAACATCGGTAACTAATTGGCAAGAAATATGGAATATATATTTGCCTTCTTTCCACAAAGTTAGGCAAAATCTTTGAAACCTGGGTATAATAGTAAAAGGTTATTTCGTTATCCGGGGATACAGATTAATATTTTCATTTTTTAATTGCATGATTTGGTTCTAGACCATGCTAACTTCACAGAGAAGGTAGAGATAAAGTTTTGCTAAAATTCGATAGAGTAAATAAAACAAATAAAGTTTCTCTATAGCTATGTTATGTTGAATCTCAAATACAGGTACTACGAAATTTTAAATTTTCCTTGAGGGAAGAAGAGAAATGAAATAAAAACGACTCGGCGATCACCAGAAAGGTTTGTCGTATATGAATAAATACCAGTTAATTGAAAGGAGAAAGCCAGTGACAGAAATATATTCTAAATTGTGAATAGATTTAAAATCTCGTTTCAAACTATATGAAAAATTAAGATTTTTTTTAAGTTAACTGGATTATTTGTCTAACAATCAAGTCAAAAGAAGGCAAAATTACGGACCATAGAATTAAGTTTCTGAGAACTTTAATTCCCACTTTTACCTACTTTAGGTGGCATATTTAATTTATTTATGGAAAAAGTATCAAGTTACCGTTTCTGTCATCGACCATCAGCCATCCTGCAAACATGGACTTGGCTGCCATTCTCCCGGCTTTGATAAACACAGAGTCGCCAGTGCTCATCCAGGCAAATGACATGTAACTGCTGCTGTCATATTTCCCGCTGCTCGAGTCTACCCATACCTCTGGCTGAGAAATTCCGTTACTAAATGAAAACTTGCAATTGAATTCGTAACTTCCGTAGATAAGTCCTGACATCATGAAAACGTAGAGACCAGAATGAGGCGCCACAAACTTCCCTGTAGATGTGGAGTAAGAATCATCCGTGTCTAGGATTTCGTTGTTAAAGATAATGCGAGAACCGTTCACATCACGCGAAAGAGAGGCATAAAATACAGCGCTATCTGAAAATAACAGTAAACAGTATAATGTAAGCCATGATAGTTTCTTTTTTTATATGAAAGTAATAATCAATACAAGACAGAAACTAAAGAAAAAAGCAGTAAGGAATCAGTACTTAATGCTGTATATGTTTTACACTGAAATTTTGCAACTATTATATTTTCAACCAGTTTGCCTCCCGATCAACAAGAGTTTATATGTGCGAAGTTATAACGGAACAAAAGTTGTATGCAGTGCATCCTGTATGCAGTTTTATAAATGATCATATTTACAGAAATTACGTCCGGACTATAATTGTACAGCTCCATAAAAGTTCAAACAAAAATATTCGCGACTTTTTTTTGTTGCTATTGCCTTCAAACTGTAAGCAAAAGAATGTTTTCAAAAAATAGAATAAGGCTTTGATCATATTAAAAAATTCTAAGAAATATTTAAACAATTATTATTTCAATGTCCTGACACTGAAAAAAGCTCATGAACTGAACACACATGCACACTTACCATTGTGTCGTATAATAAAGTCGGGGTTTCATTTTATTTTTGTAATGGTATTCATGTGAGAACTATTAAATCATTTATAGATAACGAATTTTATTACTAATACTACTATGGATGAAACTGAAAATAAGCAAATTCAAAGAATTATGGTCCCTGCTTTCGGTGTCTTAGTGGAAGGGAGATGCCGTTATCATCACTGATAAAATATTTGAAAATTAAGTCATATCTGACGGCCAAGGTCACGGGGACAAATATCATAGCACATTTAGAAACATTTTGACACAGATCATGCACTCGTCAAACATGGATTCCCTATCATATGTCATTCAGAAGTAATCACCGAAGTTCAATTTTTTTTGAAAATTAGGTCAAACATGAAGGTCAAGGGGTCAAAGATAATAGCATGCATAAACATCTTGTCACAGGTAATATACATGTTAAATATGGAAGCCCTATCTCTTCTCAGTCAAAAGTTATATGCAAAGATAAAAAATTGAAAAGTAGGACAAACATCAAGGTCTTGTCACAGGTAATGTACATGTATAATATGAAATCCCATCTTTTCTCAGTCAAAGGTTATGACCAATTTAATGTAATGATAAAATTTTTAAAAGTAGGCCAAACTTCAAGGTCAAGGGGTAAAAAATCATGGCATATTTGAACTAGTCTTGTCACAGGTAACGTAAATGTGAAAGCCCTATCTCTTCTCATTCAAGAGTTATAACCAAGGTTAAAGTTTTGTGACAGACTGACAGACGGAGAGATGGACAGACAGACGGACAGACGAATAGGATTTAATGTCCTCTCGCTTTCGCAAAAGCGGGGGATTATAATAAACTATTAACACGAACTAAAATTATATGTTGTAGATATATATTTTTATAAATAAATAATAAATGAGATATTTTAATATAATTGAATAAATAAAGATGTCTTTCTAATACTAACAAGGTATTTTGTGATAATCAACTTTTGCTCAAAAGGTTTTAAATTGTATAGAGTTTTGGTGAACATTATTCAGCTTAAATTTGATGGTCATGGCCATAGGAACCGGGGGGAGGGGGGGGGGGTAGAAAACGTAGAAAACATAGAGCAACTGCATGTATATGCCTGTGACCCCTCAATAATAACATCTGATGACCTTTTTTCCATTTTTCGTTTGTCAACGAATTTTTGGTAGATGATAGTGCCAACCCTCAACCTGAAAATTTATGGTTGTGTCTCCCCCCCCCCCCCCCCCCACAAAAAAAAACAAACAAACAAACAAAACTGAAATTGCCTCCTACGGGCCTGGTGGTTCGAGACATGCAGTACCCATGGTTTTCTTAATTTTTAATCCATTAAAATTTCATTTCTGACAAAGAATTTTAACTACCTTGACAATGTCAAACAATTCATTACCATTATATTGAAGATATACAATAACTGTTGTAAGTTCCATCAACTGGTATTAATATTGCTTTCTATTAAGCGTATTTTGTCATAGAAGAAAGAGAGCTCTTCACTATTGCATTCATGATAAAGTTGTAAGAGTTATTTCCCCTTATGCATACAGTGTATAGTGAGATAGGTATCATTTGTATATATATATATATATATATATATATATATATATATATATATATATATATATATATATATATATATATATATATACATTGTACCATGATTTCAATATATATCTATTATTTTATTGTACCCTTCTCAGTTATACCACGTTTTTATATTGATTTTTTTAAAATCTAGTTGTTATTAATGTTGAAAATTATGACAGATATATAGTGAATCAAGATATCCCTCGTGTATATGTTAGGAATTTCCGTAATATATGTAACCACTTCTACAGAATTATCCATTATTTTTTTAAAAATAAGAATATCATACCATTTTTATTGATCATCCAGCCAGAAAACATCGTATGCATCGCTTCTGCACGCCCGCTTTCTACTCTGACCCAGACTTTGTCCTTTCTTGTAAGGTTAAGAACAGCGAAGGAAGTTGTTGTGTCGTAGTATGATGAGGCTTGGTCAGACTTTGACGTTCCCATTTTTAATCCGTTCACTAAAAGGGCACATTCTGTCAACTGTCCGTAAGTCTCTATGCTCCAGGAAAACACATAAAAACCTGTTGTAGGCGCACTAAAAACTCCGGAGGTAATGTCGTACCCGCTTCCAATATTTGAGATCACATGATCGAAAATAATTACTCCAGGACCGGAATTACTGTGGGCTACCACATGGAAGGCAACGTGGTCAGGCATCACTATATATTTTCAAATATGTTTTAATAAAAATATAAATAAGGAAGGAAAACTGGAGAGAAAAGATAAAATTATTTCTAAATTATACACATAATTTAAGAAAAGACTTTGCATGCAACGAGTCAAATCCAAAACATTTCAGATTTAATAATAAAATATACATGGAGTACTGCATTCAGTGAATGCAATTATTGTTGTTTTATACGTCAATACGTTGATTTAGTCAATTGCGGAGTACACCATTCACTGAACCCGAAAGGCGAGGTGAATATTGAACCTTGAAGGTGGCTAAATCATCGTATTGACCGGAAAAGGCGCTGCAATAATTGTTTTATTATGTAATTCAGTGAATAAATGATGAGCGTTAAACATTCCATGCCATCCTACTATGTATTGAAGTCCCAGCCAAACACGATAAGAGAAACTAAGTTAAAATAAACATAACCAGTTGTATAAATTTTGAATATATTTTTCAAATTTATGTTACTTGCAATGTAGAATAAAAATAATGTCAGAAACGTTGGATCAATTTTCAAGGGGTAGGGAATGAATGAAAAAGAAATGACAACGTACAGTGTGCCTAAAAAATTGACTAGAACCTACCCTCCAGCCACCCCCCCCCCAAAAAAAAAATAAAATGAAAATAATCTTCCTAATATCATTGTTTTATTTGGGAGGGGGGGGGGGGGGTAGGTGGGAAATGTTAGGATCCAATCTCAGGTAGGGCAGCCTTTTAATGAACATTTTCATACTACATCAAAAGTAAAATTTTACGTTCATACAGATAATAAAGGTAGAATCGGGCAATCTCCCTCCCAAACCCAACACCGATCGTTATTTCTTCACTGGAGAGGAAAATGGGTGTAAGAAAAGCACTTATCAGAACCATTTTATAATTTTGGAATTTCCTGGTCTATTTTTAACGTTGAAAAAATCCTTTTGTTCACGTGGATGTCACGTGCAGGTGAACACAACGAAGTATTTTTTTTTATAATGTTGGATGTCAGCCAATTAGATATCTAAGAATTATTCAATCAGAAAATTGATACGTGTACAATTACTGCAAAACCAACTTTTATTCGCGTGCGAGCAACATCCGCGAGTGTCACGACCTAATTTGACTCGCGAATATTAATTGCTGCGAACCAATTATTCTGCTTTGTATTCGTACAGAATGTTTCCTAAGTCGGAAAAAAATCGTCGCGGATTGATTTCAAACTGACGAATAAAAGATGATGCGAATAAAAGTTGGTTTACAGCATTACCCCAGAACGTGATAGGAAAATTTGAAATTATTATTATATATTAATCAATAAAAATGCAAAACGTTGTTTAAATAATTTCTGAAAAGGTTCTTACATATGGACAGTGCTTCCGTGATTGAGTTAAATTCTTTCTCAAGCATTTCCGTTTTGATAGCCTGATTGTTGACAAGCTGCTGAAGAACTGATGTTTGAGCTTTTAAAGTGTTTATATCATCTGGCCCAGAACATGTGGCCGAGTCGGAATAAAGCGTTTGGCTTGTGCAGAAATTTATCCACTGTATTGCGGATAAAATGGTCCAAAATACAATCTTTCTTTCTGTTGCCATGATGCTAACTTTCCAAAACTCCGTCACATGAAAATAAATTTCAAACCTGTGGAAGTAAAGGAGACATTATGTTATAAACAAGAGTCTGTGGAACACATCGCTCATCTAAGAACTTTAATTAGAGAAAGCAAAATTGGTTTAGTTTTGAAAAAAAAAATTATATACATAAGTGGCCTTGTATCTACACTTTTACCCTACCCCCCAACCCCATTTTCATTATGGATCAAGAACGGAGTTAAATATCCTATTTTGAAACGACTACTAGTATATTGAATCGCTGCCCATAACTTAAACTAATACTAGCATGTTTTTTCCCTTTTAAAAAATGCTTTATAATTTAGGATGCCAAAAAAAAATTTTCAAAACAAAAGGTTTGAAACAAAATTTAAAAAAAATTTATAAAAATGGCTCTTGCCCTTACCCTGGGAAAAGCTTGAAGTCACTGAGGGCATTTGAAAACATAGCACGTTATATTTCATTATATATCGCTCAAACACGTGACCACAGTTTGTGAAGAGTTTTGGCAGGATGATGTACTTAATCCGTGATGATTCGATATTATACTGAAAGGAAATTATACATATGTAACCGTGTAGTTTGGGTCTAAAAAAAATATGTCGTTGTCCGGGTAAGAGGGAATGTTGGCAGTGAAATGAGTGGCGCTGCGGGCCGGAAGTAGAGTGCTGTATTCCTAGGGCTCTTCCCGAAAACACATGTATATGATAAGTCCAAAGTAACGAGTAATCTGGTTTCCGAATTTATTAAAGGTTTGAACGATGGACAACACTTTTAACAATAAAGAATTAAAAGCGGGGACACAGACGGAAGTGTCCGGTAATGCGTCTGGCCTCCGAACTGACCTATACAAATCAGACACTGGTATATAAATAAGTTCTTTGACAATAATTAGTGAATTGAGTAATAAAATGACAAGTGTTGAGTAAATCACAGTGTGTGAAAAGCTTTGATAAGATGGACATAAAAGAAGGATGAATTGAATATAATTACTTGAATGTTTTTACAAGGTATTAGAAAGTCCTCAGGGTAATTGACACTGTGTCCCTTTGTAGTTCAAGACAATTGTCCAGTAAGTCTCACTATGCAATTATAATTAAATAATTAAGTAAATAAGTCCTAGTCCAAGAATAAAGATTTGGAATTCATATCAAGAAAAATAACTATTAAAACATATTCAAATTTAAAACAAAAGTTCAAAATAAGATTTACAAAAGAGTCAATTTTGCACGGTGATACATACCTAAAAATAAAATGTTATCAATTATTACTGTGCGACACAATAATAACCAAATACATTTTTATGTAACATTTCATTCATAATTTTCATTATTCAAGGCAATATATCGAATCAAACGATATTTAGTCACCTTAGCTATTGAGAAAAGGAATTAGGGGGTCAGACTTTTAAAACTAAAAATTTCAAAAGTTATTATCAAGCGTGTCCTCACGCCCGCCTGTATAGCAGCTGGTACCATTTTAAGTATAAATTTTGATTAGACAGTTAATTTTTCTAAAAGGATGAGATTTCAATGTTCCATTAGTTCTCCCCATAGCTCATAAGTGAAGTTTACAACTGAGTATGTAAGTCAAATTTGGCAATTCATTTTGTCCAAATATTGCCGAGTTGTACACAATTCAGCAATTCATGGGGGCAATGCTGTGCTTGTAGGTTGTTGGTAATGTTGAAATTTCGGCAACCTGTGTTCTCTTCATGTGAAATGTGGTTGTTAAAAATGGTCTGGGTACATTGAGGCCCGCCCTACAAGACTATAGCGTGCCGTTTCATCATTAATTCTGACACTGAAGTGTCCAGGAATTTAACGTTACTAGACGTTTCATTTGCAATATGAAACGTTTCGTCAGTTGAATAAACGGAGCTTATTTTCTGTTTCTTCCTGAAAAGATCTGCTTCTTTAACGGTCTTTGACCTTTCCTGTTTCCTTGAATCTTCATTCATGACAAGATAAAGTGGACTGCGACACATTAAATTACTCAACAATTTCATTCTGTTGGTGTCATTAAATTAGGTAGGCAGTTACCAGATCCCTTTTAATTTCAGTAAGGCGTGAAATCTTTAAAGAAAACAAAATTTGTTCCATTTCTCACCAAACAATTTCAAAACAATCGCTGCAAAAATATGTTTCAACTTATCCAAACTGTTAAATATATGGCTTCCAACCCAACACTCAAAGGCAATATATACAATATAAAATAATTTAATTTTCCTTACTTTTATCACTTTGAACTAATTTAATTCTTTGGAGAATTTTTTCTGTTCGCTTTCCGATGAATGTACTGTTCAACTTTAGTAACCGAACTTCTTTTCACTGTACTTTTTGATAAGCTGCATGATTCTCACTGTTCGATTCTATCCAATAACTGTAAGAATGCGACTGTGCTATGAAGTAATACTATCTCAAACGAATGAAAACTTTCAATTTTAACGTAGTGTTACTGAAACAATTTACAGATTTGTAACGTGAATCAGGCTATTCTACTCCCTAAGTTTTTCGTTCAACGAACGATAACTATTGTGGGAAAATGCAATAGGTCTCCGAAGAGGTTAAATATGATGAAAAGTATGACGACGACAGGGAAATATGAAGTTTTATGGCCCTGTCACGTGATAATATAGAACCAATCAGATAACGCGTTGTACAGAATAATTATAATGAGGTATAATAATTCTTTTTGATATTTCATTGCACTCCACTGGACGAATCACCGTTGATCGTTTGCTTACTGACAACAAAGCAAGTTTCTGCCTGCTTTATGTTGTAATCGCTTTCAAAATTACACGTGCAGATTTTCATAACTTACGTAATCGATAACTTAGTAAGTTCTTATACAGACAATATAACATAACGGACAAATCTTTATTTTTTTAATTTTTAAAGGAAAATTATACCCGCCTTGCGTACTACAGGCTTTTAGATCTGCGCACGAGAATCGTGTAAATTTCCATGCAGTCGATATATTTCTACGCTGCTGTCGGCATGTGAATTTTGTGCACAATATTTTGAGTTAGCGAGATAATGAGTATGTACATGAAAAGTAACATGTTTTTCATTGAAATTGAATTATAAGCATTGGCTATATAAATTACATTGTTCATGAGAAATGAATCTTTAAAAAAAACGAATCGCACACTTTTTTTATGAAAGCCTTTGACAGCTTATGTCTTAACTACAAAAGTATTCTAAATTGTTAAGTTTGTAAAACAGTAAAACTTGTCCAATCTAGACATCTAGACACTACTGTTTCCAAAGAAACTGGTCGGATTAGACAACGTTCCAGATTAGAAAACATATAAAAAATATTGAATTTAGCGCAAGAGACTTAAAGTTTACACTGCACATGTATTAGACAAGATTTCGGAGCACACAACATCCGGATTAGACAG